GAGTGCATTGAGGTTTCTTGAGCAAACGGAGGCTGCCCACGCTCTGTGATTCAGATAAAAATCAATTAGCGTGGATTAGCTGTGGAAACAATCAATGCCGGTCTAGTGTTACACTCTGGCAACCACCACAACAGAGAGAGGAGGCCTGGCCAACAAAAAGCCACCCAGTCTTTGGGACACAAAGCCAACATCGGCGGCACCTTGAAATACCCTGAAGAAGTCCTTCCGCATTTCATGTGTGCGGTGTGTTTGTAGACACTGCAAAAGAAGGAGCAAAGTGGATCATCCCTCTCGTTAGAGTGACTCATTCACACTTATATCATCGTACGGCACTAGGGTGTCCCATTATCTGAAGAAAGTTTGGTCTCTGCTAAGACTGCAGCTTGAACGGGTGCCAGGGTGCTGTCGCACAGATGCCAGCTTCAAGTAAGGATAAGGAAGGCTGGCTTTAATCACTTCACCAAAAGCAGCAGACGGCCGTCATCTTTTGCAAGGCGATGGAATCGGCTGGAAAGAAATAATGTAAGGTAGCAGTCCTTGACTTACAAGCACAAGTGTACCGCTGTTAAGTACGGTGGTTGTTAAGGGTCCAATCCAAGCCGGGAATAAATAACATGGCGACTGCTTTAGAAAGAAGGTTGCAGATTCTTGAAGAGGAGAACCAGACAGAAAGATGGCTCTGGGAAAAAGAGAGCACATGTAGTAGGGAGTGGGTTTTTATACCTTCTTGGGCTTTTGTTTGGAGTTGTTTCCTGTTCCTATTGGAGACTTTGTATTTCCTGTGTCCTGTACTTTGACCTGAGTCTGAGTGTGCCCCTTTGGCATCTGTGGGTTAATCCTATTGTGTGTTAAGAGTTTGGGTGGGCTATGTAAATTTTAAGGGTCTTTGTCTTCCTCATCTCTTCAGCTTTTAGCTGGAGAGCTCCAACCTTCCTGAATGGATTATTACATCTGCATTTCTAAAAAGCTGGTTTCTGCTGAGTTGTCTGGCTGGTGTGTGTGTGTGGAGATGTTTCTGCCTTTTTAAAGATCTTCTCCATTATTCCTTTGGGGAAATATATTCTGCCTTTTTAATATTCCCCAAAATATTTCTTTCTCTGGATTGTTCCCACAGTAACAACAACAACAACAATAGAGTTGGAAGGGAAATTGGAGGTTTTCTAGTCCAACCCCCTGCTCAGGCAGGAAACCTTATACCATTGTTAAAGGAAATAACTGCGGCTGTGAATTATACCGCCATTAATCAAATATGGCTTTCCTTATTCACTTTGCTTGCTGAAGCTGGCTGGGAAGTTGCAACTGGCGATCACGTGACCCTAGGATGTTGCAACTGTCATATATACCTGCCAGTTTCCAAGTGGCTGAATTTTGCTCATGTGACTACGAGGATACTGTGACGGTCAAAAGTGTGAGAATCTGTTGTAAATCAGTGTTTCTGATGCCATTGTGACTTCAAATAGTTGCTAAACTCACGAATGAAGGCAAATTAGTTGCTGAAGTAATCATTATAAGCCAAGGACTATCTGTAAAAATGACCGTGCATGAACTTTTGATTTCCAATGGCCCCGATTTTAGTTTCGGATAAAACCTTGCAGGATTCACAAAGAACACTAAACAAATTTATAGGGAACGGGAGGGGAGAAAAAATGAGAATAAGATTTTAAAACTTGCAGGATTGAAAGGAAAGAGATGACCGTGGCTTTTTTAACCTTAAATGATACTACTTGTGCTGGCTTTCTATCATGGATAATAAAATGAATAAAATCCCCTTACAGCAGAATATCAATCACAGATCGAGCTAGCTTAGCCAATTGTTTTCATAGGGACTTACAGTATGAGTCAACCAAAGAAGAAAAGAATTTGAAACGCCAGAGGACATTTGACTAAAAAAAAATAAAAATGGAATCTTTTAAAAACAAGACTAAGACAGACAACTTCAACATTAGCATCACCGTCAAATGTCTTTTACTTCAGCAATAACTATAGTAACAAAGATTTAATTGCTTCTGCCGATACGTGTGTTACATCAAGATTCAGGAAACAGGCTAAAAAGACGAATGTTTGATGAATGTACGAATTTATTGTGGCTGATGTACTCACGTATTGCTGGAAAAATAAAAAATGACCTCGGGAAAGGAGAGATTTTGAGAAAGTTGGCAGAATTTAAAATATTTATAAAATACCAAGGTCACCTATTAGGACGGATATACAAATTGCCAAGGAAGTATGACACAGCAATAGAACAAATCCAAAACGGAATGATAAGTGAATGTAAAACTTCCAAAAGCCAATCATAGCACAACAATGGGAAAAACTATGGAAGAATCAATAATTTTTTCCCCAGATTATAATTTAAGGGAAAATTGATATAAAACGATTCACAGAAGGTACATGAATGACTTATAAAGGCAGGATAAAAGCAAAATCTAAAGCTAAAATCTAATGATTTTAATCAGTTAATAATTTTAATCAGTTAATAATGATAACTGATCTTCCTCAAATAAAAAACAGTGCAGTTGCCTTTTGAAAAAAAAAAAAGCAAGCATCTTTGAGATCACTCGGTTAAGAATGACCAAGCAAGTCAAATCGTATAACAATAAATGTTGGAAATTCCATAACAAAAAAGGAACACTTTTTCATATGTGGTGATCATGTTAAAAACAACAAGAGTTTCAAGAGTGCTGGAAAGAAGTACACCAACATTTTCAGAAAACCCTAAAAATAAAATCTGAACCCCCCACATATTAGACATAATTGCAGAGAATTTAAATGAAAAATATCATAAAGATTTATGCTGAAAGCTGCAAGAAAAAAAATTAAGAACAACACTGGGGGGAAAAAAGAGAGATTAGATTGGGAAGCCAAAATCAAAATATAGTCTGGCAAAATACACTGGCAAAATTGACATTATATATATCCACAATAGAAGTTTAAGTAAGAATGGCTCCCACATATACGACACATTACACAGCAGGAGAAATGTAGACATTTGGAATATTGTTTTTAGGAAGAAAGTTGTGAGGCCAATAAAAAATAATTAGATAAAAATATTTAAAGAGGTATTTATTAGTAACACTCTTTAATGTTTAATATAAAGTATAAATATCTAGGCTGTGTTCAGCAGTTGGCAAACTCAGTGGAAGGGAAAGGAAAAAACATATTATTAGAAAGTGTTTCCAGAATGTTTTTATTGATGCTGATAGTTGGTCTTTTTTAATCTTTCTTGACTGTTACCATCCAGTGTTCTTTGCCTTTGTGCTTTATTATTCTTTGAAAAACAAGTATCTTTCTTTTGTTTTTACATTTTGATGTTGCCCTGTTTCACCCGCAACATTAATCACATAACAAAACTGGTACTACAGCCCGAAAGAACTGATTGTTGATGAACTACCCATGGTTAATTGTGGAAGTGTTGTTGTTTTTTTCAAAATTGGCCACTTTAAGATGAGTGGATCTTTGTGCCCAAAGCAAGAATGGAGCTCTTCTGCTCCCAGTCCAGCACAACCTCTACATCCTCAATAAGAATAAATTCCTCTAGTTTTCTTGGCCACATTTTCAAAGGCAATTTATTATGACATTTCTACACGGCTCATCTTACAATGTGACTCTGTCCTGCCTTAGACAGGAAAGCCGGCTGGGTGACTTTGGGCCGATCACCAGGAGACGGTGAGTTCTAGTCCTGCCTTAGGCATGAAAGCCAGCTGGGTGACTTTGGGCCAATCACCAGGAGATGGTGAGTTCTAGTCCTGCCTTAGGCATGAAAGCCAGCTGGGTGACTTTGGGCCAATCACCAGGAGATGGTGAGTTCTAGTCCGACCTTAGGCATGAAAGCCAGCTGGGTGACTTTGGGCCAATCACCAGGAGATGGTGAGTTCTAGTCCTGCCTTAGGTGTGAAAGCTGACTGGGTGACTTTGGGCTGATCACCAGGAGACGATGAATTCTAGTCCTGCCAGGCATGAAAGCCGGCTGGGTGACTTTGGGCCAATCACCAGGAGACAGTGAGTTCTAGTCCCACCTTAGCAGATAAGGCGGCTGGGTGACTTTGGGCCAATCACCAGGAGATGGTGAGTTCTAATCCTGCCTTAGGCACAAAAGCTGACTAAGTGACTTTGGGTCAATGACCAGGAGACTGTGAATTCTAGTCTTGCCTCAGCCATGAAAGCCAGCTGGATGACTTTGGGCCTCTCATTCTCATTCTCTCTCTCCTTCTCTCTCTCCTTCTCTCTCTCATTCTCTCCCTCCCTCTCAGTTCAACCTACCTCACAGGCTTGTTCTGGTGGGGAAAACAGGAGGAAAGAGGATTAGGTGTGTCAACTGCCTTGACTTACCTATAAAAATAATAAAGCCAGAATATAATAATAATTAAAAATATAAACACATGACTAAATGCACAATGTAAAATCCAGTTAAGAACAAGGTTAAAATTCAACCTTGCCTTCTTTCCAGGGCTAATTGAGAGATGGGGGGAGGGGACTGGCCCCAAGTCCCCAGCTGACCTCCCTGCTAAGGCAAGCCCAGCGCTCCCCCTTGTCCACTTTCAGCCCAGCGCCTTTAACTACTACACCCAACTGCCTCCCCGATGAGTAGGAGGCCACCCCAATCTGTTTCCTGTCTCATTGCCTTTTGCAAAGGGAGCAGCTGGCTCTGAGCACCAGCAGAGCGCTCCTCCCGCCCAAGCCCAACCCAGGCACTCCTCAGAGTAGGAACCAATCTTGTTGTAAGCGTCGCAAACCTGTGCTCGCCACGCGAGGACACTCCAAAGAAATGCAATGCAAGAAATGCATTTTCCCAATGCAAGGAAATGCAATTCCCCCGGGGCCGAAAACTTCACCTCCCCCTCCCTGTGTTCCAGGGGTGGGGGCAACCAGCCCCGCCCCTAGCTTCCTAGACCACGCCTCCCCCATTAGCCTTCGCCCCCTCGCCTGCCAAGTTCCTGACTTTTTCCTCCTCCTCGTTTTTTGTTTTTTTTTAAGATCTGCTTTTGCTCCCCGGGAAGGAAGGAGGGATCGGCCTGCTTGCGCTCCTCATGGCTGAGAAAAGGCAGAATGAGTTGCTAAAAGCCCGAAACAGGACCCTGAGCGTCTTCCGCGAAGGTATATTAGAGATTTATACATTGCATTCCTGAGATTAAATTTGCAACCGCTTCCGTAGGCAAAGAGGCGGAACCTTTGCGAGCGGAGCGCGGCTGGCCCGGAGGCTTATCAGCGTCGCACTGCTGGACACTGGGGGACCGAAATAGGCTTGCACCGGAGTCCACGGAAAGCAAGCGGGGAGTGGGAAGCGTGATTTTTCCTGTGCATTTGAGACAAAGGGAGGGAAGAGTACGGGGGGGGGCAAATGTTGCAGTGTAGCAACTCAGCCAGGTTTCCCTGGGTTGGTTGGGGATAATGGACATTGTAGTTCAGCCAGTCCGGCTAGTTTGAAGGGGTGGAAGGGTCAACTCTTTTGGAAAAGGAGAAGGCATGAGTTTTTAATAATCCTTCCTGACTCTTCAGACTTGCTAGATCAGGGGTCTTCAAACTTGGCCCTTTTATGACTTGTGGACTTCAACTCCCAGAATTCCTCAGCCAGCGTGCCTGGCTGAGGAATTCTGGGAGTTGAAGTCCACAAGTCATAAAAGGGCCAAGTTTGAAGACCACTGTGCTAGAGGATGATGCTGACTCCTGCCTTGTCTCTTCTTCTCCACACCTTCCCTCTGCCCAGAAATTAGCGCGGGTAGTCCTCACTTAATGACCACAACTGAGCCCGAAATTTTTTTTGCTAAGCAAGACATTTGTTAAGTGGGTTTTGCCCCATTTTACAATCTTTCTTGCCATAGTTGTTAAGTGAATCTCTGCAGTTGTTAAGTTATGGTCATAAAGCGAATCTGGCTTCCCCAATGTCCGAAGGTTGCAAAAGCAGACCCCATGACCTCGGGATCCTGAAACCGCCATTAATATGAACCAGTTGCCAAGCATCCAAATTTTGATCATGTGACCACGGGAATGCTGCAATGGTCATAAATGTGAGAAATGGCCAGAAGTCACTTTTTTCACTTTGAATGGTCGCTAAACAAATGGCTGTAACTCGAGGTACTTACAAGTAGTAGCCTTGCTTGTACAGGAAAGGATTAAAGCCACTTTGTTCCTTCCCAGATGGAAGAAGAAGCAAAAGGGGAGAAAGCAAAGGTTGAGGGCACCTGCCCAGCTTAATCTCTGTGGAGGGAACAGTTGGAAGCATAAAATAACCCATGTTCTCATGCCATACAAAACTTTACCAAGGTTAACACTCAACCAGCTTAGCACCTTCAAAGGTGTGCACTCACCTGCCATGGTTGATTGGTTTGCAAACTATTTCATGGGGAATTGCAAAATTTCACCTTGTTGAATATTTTCCTGGAAGATAGTTGGTGTGAAAAGTAGAAGAGTCTGGTGATAACTTTTTTGAAACTTAACATATTTACTATCCCTAAATCCTACTGCTAAGGAACCCAAATATTTTTTTCAACATTTTATATATATAAAAAAACACAGTTGTTACTGTAGTTGAGACAGCTAAGGAATGGATTGATTAAATACATATTTTTTTAAAGAAATATCTAATGTTATCTAATGCAAGAGTGTGATTTTGGATTTTAGGAAAATGTGTAGTTAAAACTGTTAAGGCACTTTTCATTCTCAACATTGTAGCGTATTTACCTCAATCTTTTGGCTAGTGAGTAACAAACCCACCAGTTACAGAAATAAATAGAAATCAATGTGATTGCATCTGGTTTTCCTCTTACTGTGTAATTTCCTGACAATTTAATCTGACTGAATTCAGATAAAGTATGGACAAAATTGCTGCAGTGCCTGTCAAGAAACAGCAACTATAAAAAGTCACTTCCGTGTATATTAAATTGCTGCACACCTTAATATTTTGTTATTTACTCATTTCACAGAAGCTCTCAAAATTCTACTCCCATACTTAGCATACATTATAGAGAGCAACTAGTGTCTGTGTGTTTTACAGCATGTTGTGCTCAAATTAGTTTATATTACAGTAAAAATAATGAAACATAGTGATGTATGTTTATGCTTCTGAAGAACGAGGAATAAAAAGTACAGAAATTTTTAAGTTGAAATTGAGTGTTACTATTACACTCATGCTCTTAGTAATAATGAGGCTATCACACTTTCCCATATACTTTAGTTTGTGATGTAAAAATACAGTAATGCTAAACTCATTTTTGTTTGTTATTCTTTGAAATTACCACTTGCAGCAGTGGCAAAACTTGTAAATAAACGTTGTACACAAGGAAATCAGCACCGTGCATTTGAGAATGTTAAGGAAGTTGCCAATTTTAATATTGGGTGAGTTGGCTTTAAAATGATGTAATTAACTGTAACACAACTAGGGGTTTCCAAAAAACGTATGTTTAGCTCACTTGTTTCCAGAAATCTTGATGTTAATCACAATAAATCTGTTGATCTTTGGAACTAATAGGCTGGATTAGTTCCCTGGGAGGACTGTTCTGCCTATACCTGGGAACAGTGTGTGTTACCTTGTAGTGGATAATAGTTTTTCAATTCAAGGACTCTTTTACTGTGAGGTTAAATAAGAATTAAGTAAATGCAAGTGGGTTAATTTAGCTCCTACTGTCTTAATTCCATCAATGCTGTACAGTTATCTTCACTAGCAGTCATCATTGGCCTACCTGTATAATTTTGCTTACTATCCTTTTGAAATTGTCTAAACTGATGAGTGCTACTATACAGGTAGTCCTTGATGTACGTCCACAATTGAGCTCAACATTTATGTTGCTAGGTGAGATATTTGTTAAGTGAGTTTTGCCCCATTTGACGACCTTTCGTGCCACAATTATTATGTGGATTACTGCAGTTGTTAGTAACACAGTTGTTAAGTGAATCTGGCTTCCTCATTGATTTTGCTTCTCAGAAGGTCACCAAAGTTGATCACATGGCCCCCAGGACACTTGGCAACCAGTTGCCAAGGTCTGACTTTTGATCATGTGACCATGGCAATGCTACCATGGCCATAAGTGTGAAAAATGGTCATAAGTCGTTGTAAATTCAGATGGTCACTAAACGAACTGTTGTAAATCAAGGAATACCTGTATCTGTGCTACAATTATCCAGGTTTTTAAGAAAAGCCTCCGTGGTTTTTTTTTATGATGATTTGAAATGTATTTTATTTATATAGCGCTTTTTAATGCTACCGTATGGCAGATTAGGATTCTTGGCAACGTGCACGTAAAACAATAAAATGCCACCAACTAGGCTGGCTGGAGAATTCTGGCAATTGAAGTGCACACACATCTTAAAGTTGCCAAGGTTAAAAAAAACTGAGTTAATCTCATTATCAGGAGACATGCGTGCAAAATAATTTTGCTTTAGCACCTCTGGGGCTTAGTATTGCGAAAATGCTAGAATTCTTTAATTCCTTCCTCATCCTTTTTTCAATGTGGTTTTTTTTTTCCTTTTCTTGAAATCTTCAAAATTAACCCCCCCCCTTTTTTTAAACTCATGCATATACAAATAAATACATCCCTTTCTCTTTACCAAATATTATTTACATAAATTACATTAATGAAAAAAGTGACTTACGATACTTATGATCCTTGCTGCATCCCCATGGTCACACGATCAAAATTTGAGCACTGGTTCATCTTTATGACGGTCGCAGTGTCCCGAGGTCACATGATCCCCTTCTGCAAACTTCTGCCAAGCAAAGTCATTGGGGAAGCCAGATTCACTTAACGATCATGTTACTAAGTGAACTTAATACCTGTGGCAAGAAACGTCGTAAAATGGGGCAAAACTCAACTGTGTCACTTAGCAACAGAAAATTTTGGGGTCAATTGTAGTTGTAAGTTGAGGGCTATCTGTACTTCAGTCCTGAGAAAGTAGAATAGAATAGAGCTGGAAGGGACCTTGGAGGTCTTCTAGTCCAGCCCCCTGCTCAAGCAGGAGAACCTACACCATCTCAGACAAGTGATTGCCTAGCCTCTTCTTAAAAACCTTCAGTGATGGAGCGCCCACGATTTCTGGAGGCAAGATGTTCCACTGGTTAATTGTCCTCACTGTCAGGAAGTTTCTCCTTAATTCCAGGTTGCTTCTCTCTCTGATCAGTTTCCAACCATTGTTTCTTGTCTTCCCCTCTGATGCTTTGGAGAATAGCTTGACTCCCTCTTCTTTGTGGCAGCCCCCCAAATACTGGAATATTGCTGTCAGGTCTCCCCTATTTCTTCTTTTCTTTAGACTACTAGCCAAACCCAAGTCCCGCAGCCGTTCTTCGTATGTTTTAGTCTCCAGGCCTTGGATCATCTTAGTTGCTCTTCTCTGAAATTTTTTCAAACTCTCAACATCTTTTTTGTGATATGGTGACTAAAATTGGCTGCAGTATTCCAGGTGTGGTCTTACTAGGGTTTTATAAAGCGGTACTAATACTTCGCGTGATCTTGATTCTGTGCCTCTGTTTATACAACCCTGTATAAGTGGAAGGTATAAGAAAGAAAATTAAAATTACCCCACTTTGATTAGGTTTGGTATAAGATGGGTCAGAGAGAAAGAGATAAAGAGTCTTTCCAGATTCTGTTATTTTACCCTACAACATTTTTTTTTTAAAAAAGAGAAACATTCTTAAAATTTCCGCCATGTCTTGTTTCTTGATCTGGCTTCCCATGAAAGTCTGACTAACTGAATTTACTAAATTAGCAAATCAAGAAACAGCATGATGCATTGTCAGTCCGCAGCTCTTTCCAAAGTTTGTTTATCGCATTTTAATGAGATGATGCTTTTGGACAACACTAGTGCTGAGAATACAAAGAGATATGGCTGTAAAACAATGCTGGGTGTCAAATTTGGAAGGCTCCAGTGCCTGGTTCACAGTTTTGTGAACATGCCTGGTAAACAAGCACCCTGTCAAATTCTATGATCATGTCAAGCTGAGTCCTTAAGCAATATTTTACTAATAAGCTACAAGGAGTGGATTCCTACTGTAAGCTAAACCATGATTAAACAGGTTCTTGGGCATTTTAAGTGCAGTGCGTAAATCCAGTACATGGATCCTTCCACCCTCCGTGTCCATAATAGGCACAAGAATGAAACCTGTGTTTGCTACTAACTTGGTTCTGTCATGGCCTTTGTGTTTTGGAAGGGCTATAAGTGTGTCTAAGGAGAGCCAGTTTGGTCTAGTGGTTAAAGTCATCCAGCTGGCTTTCATGCCCAAGGCAGGACTAGAACTCACTGTCTCCTGGTAATTGGCCCAAAGTCACCCAGCTGGCTTTCAAGTGTAAGGCAGGACTAGAACACACCATCACCTAGAAATTAGCCCAAAGTCACCTGGCCGGCTTTCATGCAGAAGGCAGGACTAGAACTCACTGTCTCTTGATGATTGATCCAAAGTCACCTGGCTGGCTTTCATGCAGAAGGCAGGACTAGAATTCACCGTCTCCTGGTGCAAAGTCACTCTGCCAGCTTTCATGCCTAAGGTGCAACTAAAATTCACCGTCTCCTGGTTAATAGCTTGGTGCCTGAGGCGTAGGCAACCTTGGCTCTTTTATGACTCGTGGACTTCAACTCCCAGAATTCCTGAGCCAGCGTGGCTCAGCTTGGAAACTCTCCCTTTCTCCTCAGCATGGCTGGCTCAGGAATTCTGGGAGTTGAAGTCCACGAGTCATAAAAGAGCCAAGGTGGCCTACCTCTGCACTAGACCAAACTGTGCTGACTGGGGAATTCTGGGACTTGAAGTCCACACATCTTAAAGCTGCCAGGGTTGAGAAGAAACACTGCTTTTTTAATTTATTATTATTTAAATTTATATACCGCCCTATCTCCCTTACAGGACTCAGGGCGGTGAACAGGCAATAATAAAAATCACAATAAATATTGAATAATATTTATTGTGATTTTTATTAATTTGATTAATCAGATGTGTCCCCCTTTCCCATTTTATTTTATTTCCAGAAGCAGAACGGGAATGGAAGGCCCCTTTCTATTTTATTCAAGGGGCAGACCCTCAGTTTGGACTGATGAAGGCCTACAGCATCGGCGATTGCAACAGCGGTGGGGACGAATGGGAAGCCGAATTGCAACTCACCCGACAAGCTGTGGAAGCCATTAACCACCTGAACCCGCCACCCAAATTCTTTGTCCTCTGCGGAGATTTAATACACGGCATGCCTGGTAAGGCAGTTCAAACTCTTGATCAGGAAGGATCACGGTTTGACCCCTTTTTTCCCCAAGCTGCATTGCAAGCAGTGTGTTGTGATGGGAGCTTTGTCACTGTGTTTGTTTGTTTGTTTGTTTGTTTGTTTTTAAGAAGAGGCATCTCCTGTATTCTTCAGCTTACACCCATTTGTTTAGTGAAAAAAGTAATAGCATTCAGACTTATATGCCACTTCGTAGTGCTTTACTACCCTCTCTAAGCGGTTTACAGAGTCAGCCTATTTCCCCCAACAATCTGGCTCCTCATTTTAGCCACCTCGGAAAGATGGAAGGCTGAGTCAACCTTGAAACGGTCAGGATCGAACTCCTGGCAGTGGGCAGAGTTTGCCTGCAATGCTGCATTCTAACCGCTGTGCCACCATGGCTCTCACAAATAAATAAGTAAATAAATAAGTGTACAAAGACACCCAGACACACATACTGTATATGAAGATACATACATACATACAGGCATGTATACATACATATACATACACACACACACACATGCACAAACATACATAGATTTACAAATAATAATAATAATGATAAAGTTGGAAAGGACCTTGGAGGTCATCTAGTCCAACCCCCTGCTCAGGCAGGAAACCCTACACCATTTCGGACAAATGGCTGTCCAGTTTTTTCTTAAAAACTGCCAATGTTGGAGCATTCACCGCTTCTGGAGGCAGGTTGTTCCACTGGTTAATTGTTCTAACTGTCAGGAAGTTTCTCCTTAGTTCCAGGTTGCTTCTCTCCTTGATTAGTTTCCACCCGTTGCTTCTTGTCCTGCCTTCTGTTGCTTTGGAGAACAGCTTGACTCCCTCTTCTTTGGGGCAGCCCCTGAGATATTGGAAGTCTGCTATCATGTCCCCCCTCGTACTTCTCTTTGTTAAACTAGACATACCCAATTCCAGCAACCGTTCCTTGTATGTTTTAGCCTCCAGTCCCTAATCACTTTTCACATAATTTTAGCCGACCCGTTTTGAGCAGGCCCAGGCAGCTTGCCAGTGGCCACTTGCCAACCCCTTTCGCAACGGAACGTCTCCACCCGAGTCGGCTTTTTGTTAAGGCTGGATTAGCAGATAGACTCTGAGCCGCGCGCGTTGCTTTCCTCAACATGTCCGCGTGGAGTAATCTCGTTAGTATAATAAAAAAAAACCCCACGTTCAGCCATTTCTCCATTATTGTAGCCGAGGCCTGAACGCTTCCAAATGCAATCATCGCAAGCTGGCCCCGAAGGGTGCCAGAATAAAACCAGCTTTTTGAATTCGCCTGGCCCATTTGTTTCGTTTCGGTCTGCGGCGCACGGCGTTTCTCTGACAGGCAAATGTTTTGGGTTGGGTTCTGCTGTCTTCAAAGGAAAGGGAGACGATGAGGCGTTGCTGTTTCTGTTGAAGCGAAAGAGCGAGGGGAAAAGGGGAGAATTTGGAAAATCCAAATGGCATTGGTGGCTGGTAGGAATGATCCTGGAAATCGAGCGGAGTACAGACTAACAGAGTTGGAAGGGACCTAGGAGGTTTTCTAGTCCAGTCCCCTTCTCAAGCAGTAGGCCATTCTAGGCAAGTGACTGTCCAGTCTCTTCTTAAAAGCCCCCAGTGATGGAGCACCCACAACTTCTGGAGGCAGGTTGTTCCACTGATTAATTGTTCTCACCGTCGGGAAATTTCTCCTTAATTCCAGGTTGCTTCCCTCCTTGATCAGTTTTCCATCCGTTGCTTCTTGTCCTGCCTTCAGGTGCTTTGGAGAATAGCTTGACTCCCTCTTCTTTGTGGCGGCCCCCTTAGTCCTTCTCTTCATTAGACTAGACATACTCAATTCCTGCAACCTTCAAGTAGAAGGTTTACTCAAGAAAATCCTGGCGCATTTTAGTTTAACGAAGTCTAGTTTAACGAAGAGAAGGACAAGGGGGGACATGATAGCAGTGTCCCAATCTCTCAGGGGCTGCCCCAAAGAAGAGGGAGTCAAGCTATTCTCCAAAGCAGCTGAAGGCAGGACAAGAAGCAACGGATGGAAACTCATCAAGGAGAGAAGCAACCTAGAACTAAGGAGAAACTTCCTGACCGTGAGAACAATTAACCAGTGGAACAACCTGCCTCCAGAAGCGGTGAATGCTCCAAGACTGGAAGTTTTTAAGAAGAGACTGGACAGCCATTTGTCCGAAATGGTGTAGGGTTTCCTGCAGGGGGTTGGACTCGATGACCTCCAAGGCCTCTTCCAACTTTATTATTATTATTATTATTATTATTATTATTATTATTATTATTATTATTATTATTATTATTATTATTATTATTATTATTATTATTATTATTATTCTTNTATTATTATTATTATTATTATTATTATTATTATTGGTTACATTTACATTCCATCTTTCCTGCAAGCTGGCGTGGAATCGCCCCTGGGTTTTCTCCTTGCAAGGTAGGCTGGGGGGGGGAGGGAGGGGGGAGCGCTGAGGTTGTCACAAACCCATTCCATCAGCAAGAGAGTTAAATCCGTGGAGAAGCCAGATTCGTTTAACATCTGCGGTTACGAATATCGCAACTGCAGTGATTCAGCTGTGGCAAGGAAGGGTGTAAAACGGAGTGGAATGTACTTCACCACGGTCTCGCTTAGCAACAGAAATTTGGGGCTCCACCCCTTGGGGGTCCTAAATTGAGGACTAGTGTCCTTTCCTCTCTGGGAGTGAGGGACAATGCTCAGCTGCTCCTCACCAGCCTTGTAAATATAACAAAAGTCTTTGGCTTTTAAGACGCCTGGGAGAACTGCAGCAAAAAAAAAAAAGCATCATCAGCTAAAGTAGGCTGCAATCAAGCAAAACACTTGGAGCCGTTTACGAACCCGTTAAAGGGACTAAGTAATCAGCGTCAGTGTCTTCGGTTATGTAAATGGTGATTAAATGGGTGGGTGGGGGGGCTTGGATTGTTATCATTACTAGTACGGCAGGGATGGGTTTCTCCCCCCCTTTTTCCCTTGATTGTATGGAAGTGTGTGACGATACCAAGAATAATCAGCACGTGCTATCGCAGGACCAGATCGGGAGTGTCGTTACAGCTTTGCGGCCTGCCAACACCGCCGCGCAACGTCACTGCTTGGTTGTTAAGCGTTGGCAAAGCTGTGCAGGTGTTGGGGTGCTCGTCGAAAATCTTAAGAAGCTCCCCTTCCACAAGGGGGACCTCCAGATTGATAGGTGTTCAATTACAGTAGTTGGACGGTGTCTTGTGGGGTCCTTGGTGCTCTCTGAGCTTGGTGGTTTTCTCGCAGATGTTTCATTGCCCAACTAGGTGACTTCATCAGTGCTAGAACGGAGTGGGGTTTGCGAGGAGGAGGAGGTAGTTCTTGGTTACTCTCTTAGCTTGATGGTCTTCTTGCAGATGTTTCATTGCCCAACTAGGTGACCTCAGCAGTGCTAGAACGGAGTGGTGTTTGCGAGGAGGAGGAGGAGGAGGAGGAGGAGGAGGAGGAGGAGGAGGAGGATGACAACAACAACTATGGGGTGAACCTATTCACCAAAGCACCTGAAGGCAGGACAAGAAACACTGGATGGAAACTAGTCAAGGAGAGAAGCAACCTGGAATTAAGGAGAAGCTTCTTAACAGTGAGGACAATTAACCAGTGGAACAGCTTGCTTCCAGAAATTGTGGGTGCTCCATCACTGGAGGTTTTTAAGAAGAGACTGGACAGTCATTTGTCTGAGATGGTATAGGGCAGAGGTAGGCAACCTTGGCTCTTTTATGACTCGTGGACTTCAACTCCCAGAATTCCTGAGCCAGCATGGCTCAGCTTGGAAACCTCTCTCTTTCCCCTCAGCATGGCTGGCTCAGGAATTCTGGGAATTGAAGTCCACGAGTCATAAAAGAGCCAAGGTTGCCTACCTCTGGTATAGGGTCTCCTGTTTGAGCAGGGGCCTGGACTAGAAGACCTCCAAGGTCCCCTCCAGCTCTATTTTAATTGATTGATTGATTGATTGATTGATTGATTGATTGACTGATTGATAACCCCCTCCTTTGAATCCAGTTGCTTTTCTTGGGGTGGGTGAAGAATCCGTTGCCACTCAGGACTACTTTTGCTGTGATTTTCCTCTTCCTAACTTGACAGGATAATGTTCAAGTCCTTAATTTGCTCACAGTAATGAGCACGATTCTGCTGGGTAGAAATGACACAGACGGATATTTTTTAAGACAGAAAAGCGGGCTGCACTTAAAGGAACAGAAGGCAGAGGCGAGAACTGATGCCAAAACCATCAGGTTAAAACAAAGCCTCTTCGCTCTGGACAGCTCTCATAAAGGAGAACCCGGGCGATTTTTTATTAAGTTTGACACTTTATTAAAGATGGGATGTTAACGTGCTAATCAGATGCCACACTGAAAATGGAGGCGCGACGGATGTTTTATAAGATGTTTATCAGGACTTTATTGTGTTCTTCTTCTTCTTCTTTGCTCATAGAAGACCAGCTTGGTTCATTTTCCTTTTTTTTTTTAATTTATTTTTTTTGGAAAACCAAAATGTCATTCCTTTTGATTCGGCTTGTTGCGTTTTCCATTAAATGTATTTGTTGGCTCAGTTGTACGAAAGAGGTAGGAGGCCATATACGTTGTTGAAATGAATTGTTTTGCTTAAAAATGAATTAGTTAAGACTTTAAAAGTAATGAGGCCTTGACTTAAAAACATTTGTTTAGTCCTTGACTTGCAATCATTTGTTTAGTGTATATATACCGCTTATATACTTATATACCGCTTCACTGTCCTCATTTTACCAACCTCAGAAGGATGGAAAGCTGAGTCAACCTTGAGCCAATCAGAATCGAACTCCTGGCATTCAGCAAGTCAGCCTCCTTCCTTCCTTCCTTCCTTCCTTCCTTCCTTCCTTCCTTCCTTCCTTCCTTCCTTCCTTCCTTCCTTCCTTCCTTCCTTCCTTCCTTCCCAATAGCACTTAGACTTACATACCACTTCACAGTGCTTTAAAGCCCTCTCTAAGCGGTTTACAGAGTCAGCCTCTTGCCCCCCAATAATCTGGGTCCTCATTTTATCCATCTCGGAAGGATGGAAGGCTGAGTTAACCTTGAACTGGTCAGGATCGAACTCCTGGCTGTGGGAATGCAGAGTTAGCCTGCAATACTGCATTCTAACCACTGCGCCAGCTCAGGCCATATGAGTCCAGTATTCATTCACACATATATTTTTCACTCTCAAATAGCAATATGTTTGCTACCTTAAGTTACTTATAAAGTAATGAAGGCAAAATAAAAATTAGATAGATACTGTAGATAGATAGATAGATAGATAGATGGATGGATGGATGGATGGATGGATGGATGGATGGATGGATGGATGGATGACAGACAGGAGACTTCTTTGAGGAGATCTTGATTGAAATCCCTACCCCCTCAAACCTCAAGTTCTTCATGTCTGATCTTAACATCTTGCTAGCCATCATTGAGCGATCAGCATGTTAATTGATCATTTACAGCCAGAAAGCTGGTCTGGGATCTCTGTGACTTATTTCTGGCACCTCTTCGGAAGTGCCTATAAAATCTAAACATGTCAGATGAAACAAATGGTTTTGACAGCAGATCAAAGGCATTTTACAGCCAGAAGTATTGGCGCTTTGCTTTAAGGCTATTAAGTAGAAGACACTTATGGTTCACTTGGATGTTGTTGCTTTTTAAAAAAGAAAAGAAACCACTGTTTGTCAAATTGTACCGTTTTTTAGATAATTGCATTTTTACTCTGGCTTTTACAATCCGAGGGCTTTGTAAAACCTGGAATGGCAGGTGTTGAAAGATGATGGCAAATTGAATCAGTGGAAACTCCTGCAAGAAAAATAAATAAATCACGGAATTATAGAGATGGGAGGGGTATTTAGGCCACTGAAACCAACTCTTAAAACAGGGGTCTTCAAACCTGGCCCTTTTATGACTTGTGGACTTCAACTCCCAGAATTCCTCAGCCACGCATGCTGGCTGAGGAATTCTGGGAGTTGAAGTCCACAAGTCATAAAAGGGCCAAGTTTGCAGACCCCTGTCTTAAAGTATCCCAGTCTTCTGCTTGAAAATATCCAGTGAAGAGAAACGGAATCATTAGTATCACTCTCGGATTGCTCTTACACTAAGTCAGTATTTTTTCAACTTTGGCAACTTTAAGACGTGTGGACTTCAACTCCCAGAATTCCTAGCCAGGATGCTTAAAAGTTGCCACAATTGAAAAAAAGAACTGTGGGTGGTCTTTTACTTAAATCCATTCTTCTGTCTCCTGCATGGTGATCAAGAGAAGACAGATCCTGACCACCTTCTGCAGGGTATCTGCTGTATAATATTTGGGCCACACCCGAGGGACTGTCTTTTTCCAGAATAACAGAGTTGGAAGAGACCGTGGAGGTCTTCTAGTCCAACCCCCTGCTCAAGCAGAAACCCTATACCATTTCAGACAAATAGTGGTTTAACCTGTTCTTGAAAACCTGCAATGATGGAGCACCCACAACTTCCGGAGGCAAGCCGTTCCACTGATTGATGGTTCTCACAGTCAGGAAATTCCTCCTTAATTTTAGGTCGGTTCTCTCCTTGATTAGTGTCCACCCGTTACTTCTTGTCCCGCCTTCAGGTGCTTTGGAGAATAGGTTGACCCCCGCTCTTCTTTCTGGCAGCCCCTCAGATTGCTTGCCTTCTCTTGGGAGCAGAGAGATGAGGCTCTATGGAGCTGAGGGCAGGTCAGTTCTGGATCTCTTGCGGCTACGCAACGATTCTAGGCTAATTCCTCGCTTGAGACTCCCTCCCTGTCTGGTTGAGCATTTCCCAACATCCTGAAACTTAACCGTAAGAATTCACTCTTCTCGTTTTGCAGGGACAGAATGGCGGGAGGCCCAAATTCGAGATCTAAGAAACGTCCTGAAGGACCTTCGAAGCGACATCCCTCTGGTTTTCGTCAGCGGCAATCACGACCTGGGGAATACGCCCACGCCGGAGACGATCAGCGATTATTGCCAGCAGTGGGGTGACGATTACTTCAGCTTTTGGGTCGGTGGCGTCTTCTTTCTCGTGTTGAATTCCCAGCTGTATTTCGATGCTTCTCAGTGCTCAGAACTAAAGGCGGTGCAGGACGCGTGGTTGGAGCAGCAGTTGGCCGTGGCGGGGGAAAAAAAATGCCGCCACGCCGTCGTCTTTCAGCACATCCCCTTCTTCGTCAACGAACCTGAAGAGGACCACAACTACTTCAATTTGGAGAAGGCTGTTCGACACGAACTCCTGGAGAAATTCTGCCGAGCAGGTATGGTTTCCGCCGTGGGATTCGGTTTTTATATATTTATAGATAGTGCCAAGGGTTTCTGAAATAAATTATATAAAAAGTTTTACAGAAAACAGTAAAATAATAAATAAAAACTAACACAAGCTAATATAGAAAAGAGAGAGAGAAAGGAAGAGAGGAGAAGGAAGGAAGGAAAGAAGGAAGGGAGGGAGGGAGGGAGTTCCAATTTCTTTTGCAGCAAATTTGAACACAAATTATTTCTTACTCTATAATTACAAAAACAGCTTACTTTTTTCTATTACCATTTTCCCCCTGATCATCAAAACCACAAGGTCAAGGAATGTACATCTGACTGGAAACCCCTTATAGACTTTTTTGCATGAAATGGGGGGAAATGCACCTCTTGAGAACGTTTATTAATATATCAGTCACTAGCCAGTATTGGTTTATACACTAAACCATTATTAAGTAAACTATGGTTCATCCTATCTGAAGCTGGTCATTACGAATTCTTTTCATTCATAATTATTTGTTCTATAGCAGCCTTCTGTTTCACTGAAGTACTCTCATTTTTTCCCCCTTAAAACAACCTGTTTGTATTTATTCTGTTTGACGTCCCCCATGAAACAAAAATGTTTATTTGTCTGTTTGTTGTTTAATTGGATTTCTTCAACGGCCCATTCATTTTACGCCAGAGAGCTAAACGTGAGCTTCAGTAGCTACATCTGGTGTGAAATGCTAAGCTTCCTTTCTCACTTTACAAGTGTCCCTAACAGTTGGGCTAATTAAAAATAAAATTGCATCCTTATCATAAATATTTGTCAATTGAAAAATCTGGCACTTTTTAATTTCACCATTAAGCCACGAAGATGATTGAGCGCTATCAAAAAAACCTATCATGGTGGTTAAGGAGAGACAAAAAGATGACTGAAGAATCTTATCTTGAAAAGATCATTTTTTCCTTAATGTTAGATCAGGGGTCTTCAAACTTGGCCCTTTGATGACTTGTGGACTTCAACCCCAAGACTATTTGTATATCAGCTAAAGGTTCTGCAAATTGACCTCCAGCTTATCCGGTTGAAAATGGCTCCTTCTAATGCTGAATCTGGAAAATAATAATAATAATCACAGCTTGAATCTTAAAATTGGAGAGTGCATAGGAGCCAGTGTCTTGCTCTGACAGGAATCCAAATTACAACGTCCCCAAATAGCATCTCGCTTTCACTTGAAGCCATCCAGAAAAGGAGAAATTTTCTAGGCAGTTAATTCCACTGTGGAACGATTTTAACATTAAGAAACTTTCCCTGGCAATCAACCAGAATAGTCTTTTTCTATTATTTAAGCCCCAGGCACGCTGGCTGAGGAATTCTGGGAGTTGAAGTCTACAAGTCATAAAAGGGCCAAGTTTGAAGACCCCTGGTCTAGGACTATCTGTATGGCTTTTTCCCCCCTACATCAGGGGTCTCCAACCTCCGGTCCGTGGACCGGTACCGGGCTGCAGCATGCCAGCAACCGCTCCAGATGCTGGTCAATGAGTTCATATTTATGACGGTTGCCGTGTCCAGGGACCGTGTGATCCCGTTTTTGCAACTTTCTGACAAATAAAGTCAATGTGGAAAGCAGATCCACATCACAACTGTGTAACTAACTTAACACTGCCATGATTCACTTAACAACCCTGGCAAGGAAGGTGGTGAAACGGGGCAAAATTCACTTAACAAATGTCTCACTTAGTTTTGAGTTCAACTGCGGCGATAAGTCCTTCAGTGACTCCCATCAATAGGCAATTAGCCGGTGGAAAGGAGGAAAAAAAAAAGAATGGCTGAATTAGAACAATCGAATGGGTGATTAGAAAGCCGATTTCTTTTCCCTAATCCATTTTATATGAGCCAAGCCAGAGTGTCAACGATAGCAGGACCGTGAGTTTTTTAATAGGTAGGACCCCAAACACCAGTGGGTTGAGTTGGCTTGACCCCCAACTTAGCAGTCTTTCGGTTCCCCAGTTGATTCTTTCACCCTTGGGTGATGTCAGTCCTGCCCAACAAACAAGATCGCATTTGCTATTGCAGACATTTCCATAACAGACCATTGTGTAGTAAATCTGCCAAGTGTGCAAGAGACAATCCACGCCGGAATGCATGAGAAGGCTGCTGACATAAATTCTGGAAAAGAAGATGAAGCTATAAACCAATCCACTATTAAAGCAGAATGCTAAAGAAGGCACCCACATAACAACAACAAAAAAAAAAAAGACAACATTGAAATACATACCGATTCAGAATCTAAATTGTCTATGGAGATTCTCAGTCATCCAGGTCATAGTTATCCCAAAGATGCTTTTTCACGAGGCAACTGGACGTTCTTCTTTGAAGACATTTTGCTTCTCCTCCAAGAAGCTTCTTCAGCTCTGACTGGATGGTGGGGAATGGAAGGATTTATGCTCCTTGCAAACAGCTGTTCATTTGCATTCTTTTTAGAGAGTCGTTAAAGTTACCAATTTTCTTGCAGAAGTTTCATTAGCAAACTAGGTAACATCAGTAGCATTGATGATGTTACCTAGTTTGGTAATGAAACATCTGCAAGTAAACCACTAAGCTCAGAAAGCACCAAGGACCCCACAGTCGTCGTCCTCCTCCTCCTCCACCATCACCACAAACACACATTCCCTTCCCTTCTAGCATTGATGTTACCTAGTTTGCTAATGAAATATCTGCAAGAAAACCACCAAGCTCAGAGAGCACCAAGGACTCCACAGTCGTTCTCCTATTCCTCCTCCTCCTCCTCCTCCTCCTCCTCCTCCACAAACACACATTCCCTTCCCTTCTAGCATTGATGTTACCTAGTTTGAAAATGAAACATCTGCAAGAAAACCACCAAGCTCAGAGAGCACCAAGGACCCCACAGTCGTTCTCCTATTCCTCCTCCTCCTCCTCCTCCTCCTCCAACACACATTCCCTTCCCTTCTAGCATTGATGTTACCTAGTTTGGTAATGAAACATCTGCAAGGAAACCACCAAGCTTAGAAATCACCAAGGACCCCACAGTTCAACCCTGCGCTACACATATTCTCTTGTATTGATCTTCTGTTATTGATGGACAACCTTGGTCAGGAAGGGTTGAAAGCAACTGAATGACTGAACAAAAGCAATCATGACTTACTATAATACGGCCTAGATGCCTAGCTGCTCTTTCCTCTCTAGATTGCCTTTAGGATTCCAACTTCTTCCTGTCAGGAGTATCGACAAGTCCCAACAGTTGAGGTACACCCAACTCCAGTGCAACCTTTGTGATGGGACTCATAGCCCATCACAAAGAGTGTAACTCTCAACCACACACACACACACACACACACAGGCTCCAAAAAACAGATTCCAAAACACAACCTAAGAACTGGCTATCTCATTCACAAGGGACAGTGAGTGATGGCTCCAGGATGCCTCGAGCAGAAGACATTTCACAGATCATAACGCAGAACCGATTCGTTGCTAATCAGATGACGGGAATGCAACTTACTGGTTGTTCCAGATAGCTGCTTCTCGCCTAGTCCCTGCTGTGTTTTCTTCATTAAAAGTTTCTTTTGAGGTGTGTCAGACCAGAATGTTAAAATGCTCTGGAAGTTCTGCCAAGGATTTTGATTAAAAACAACAAAATAAAAAAAGCCGACTCAGCTTGAAAAACCCTGCCCCGAGTCAGAAAACCAGCTTTTTGAAGTTTATGGCACTGAATTATAGATACGATGACTACCCTGGACAGATTAACTTTGATGGAGCTGTGTTCAGCGAAGGAACTTCGGGGAGATCTGAAAACCTGGCTGGGTGAGTGGCAGGGAGCTGAAAAAAAACCAAGTGACTATTGTGCTGTCAGTTTTTATGGATGGTCTTTTTTTTTTTTTTTTGCCTGTGTTTGTTGTGCATGTGGGTTGCTTTTCAATTACTCACGGCACCTTCCTTGAAGAGACAAATCTGAAAATCCAGCAGAAAGCTGCAGAAGAAAAACAGGTGGCAAAGCCCCAGAGGATATGGTGTCATGTCATTCTTGCTGCTAGAAAACTCACCTCCCCAAAGGAACTTTCCTCTTGTTTTGATTCTCTGCCTGACCAAAAAAAAAAAATAGCGTCAAAGAAAGACAATTCTTATCTTCTGTCTTTGGGAAGGAGAACATCTGGCCCCCGCGTAACTCAGAAGGACCTAACTTCAGCCTTAGGGTCTTGTCTCCAAACCTCTCCAGAAGTTCTACATTTGGATGTATTTATGGGGAGGGGGTTCTGCTGTCCCCCAGGGGATACTTGCCACAAGAGTATTTCATTCAGTGCCGTTTGCCTTGAAATCAAATCAAATGTGGTTTATGCCCTAGCTAAGCTCACTTTTTGGGTTGTGATCCCTGCCCTTTGGAAATCTGAGTGCAACCTTCAGCTAGAACAACTGAGACCGATTGTTCTCCCTCCCTCCGCCCCAAAAAAGGTAAATTGGATTAAATGTTGCAGGAAGTGCTTGCCAGTTCAAACATCAGGATGTTTATTTTACAGCTTTAGATTAACCACAGACGGTCCTACTTTTCTACCCGGCTCTTAAGAGGGAATGGATACGTTTCCCAAATTAGGTAACCGTTTTTTTAATCCATTAGTCGATTCTCAACCTTGGCAACTTTAAGATGGGTGGACTTCAACTCCCAGAATTCTCCAGCCAGCTGACGCTAAAGCTAATGCTGGTTTGGGAATTGAAGTCCATGCATTTTAATGTTGCCAAGGTTGAGAAACACTGAGCTAGACCATTCTATCCCCCTAACCCAGGGGCCTTCAAACTTGGCCCTTTTATGACTTGTGGACTTCAACTCCCAGAATTCCTCAGCCAGCCTCCATTTTGTTTGTTAGATTTAAGACAGGGGCCTTCGAACCTGGCCCTTTTATGACTTGTGGACTTCAACTCCCAGAATTCCTCAGCCAGCCTCCATTTTGTTTGTTAGATTTAAGACAGGGGCCTTCGAACTTGGCCCTTTTATGACTTGTGGACTTCAACTCCCAGAATTCCTCAGCCAGCCTCCATTTTGTTTGTTAGATTTAAGACAGGGGCCTTCGAACCTGGCCCTTTTATGACTTGTGGACTTTAACTCCCAGAATTCCTCAGCCAGCGTGCCTCAGAAAAAATCAGTTCATCAAAACTTTAAATGATGAACAAGCCATGGAAAATTCCTTTTCCCTCCTCTAATGCAAATCCTTTCAAATAAAAAAATCCTTGTCAAATGACCTGGGAAGTTAGGTGGGACTCAAAGCCATCATCTTGGACCACCTAAGAATTTTTATTTTTATTTTTTAAAATTGGAAACCATGCTTGTTCTGGAATTCTTTCAGTTTGAGCCCAAATAATGGTTTGGTTTGGTTTCCAACAGGTATTAAAACAGTATTTTCTGGACACCTTCACAAGAATGCTGGAGGAACATACAAAGATCTGGACATGATCATTTCATCGGCCATCGGATGCCAGCTAGGAGATGACAGCCACGGCGTGCGGATGGTGGGGGTCACCGCGGAAAAGATCGTCCATCGATATTACAGTCTGAGCGAGCTGAGTAACCATCCGAAAATCGAAAAAGAGTTTATGGCGTTGATAAAACCAAATTAGTTCTAGGTTCTGAGTAGCATTTATCTTTCCGTTTCCGTAATTTTGGTTTTTTTTTAAATCATAGCTCTGATTTCCCTTTACTCGCCCTGTTATTTGCTAAGGAAACACCTCACAGCTGAAAAGAGTACAAAGATGCAAACTCTGAATATTTTCTCCTAGTCATGGAAAGATCTCGACTTTCATTATTGACATAGTGACACCCCTCTAGAATTTGTAACCAAGACAAGAAAATACGGGGAATGTCCCGCTCTTAGAAAACAAGCAGCTCTATTTTTCTTTTTTTTTAGCGTGCAAAGGCCCTTGTGGATAAGCAAGATAATGCCGTCTCTTTAGCAAACCAACAAGGCTGGAACAGGCTATGATATCATGGGGACCGTAAAAAAGGAATCTCTGCTATTTCAGAGCAGATGGCGGGCATCATTATGCCCTTATATAATAGATCGAATTAAATTCACATTTTCTCTGCACGGTTTTTGCTGAGTTACAGACTTCCGTCACAGCTAGGGCTTCTCAAATGATACCACGTACCACTTTTGTGCCTTTTGCCTCTCGGAGATTACCGCACTCTGCCCTCTTCCGTAAATATACCTGTAGGCGGGATCAGGAAGGGCTAAATAAGTGACAGTTGAGAAGATGTCATGAACGTATCTTTCCTAATTCACATTTAATGGATTGAGAATGGGGTAGAATAACTGAATTGGTGGGTGGGTGGTTTCCTGGAAGAGTGACATTATGGCAATTGCATTCTGCGATTAAAATGGCACCCATTGGTTGGCCAGTTTGTTCATTGAACAAATGGGAGGGGGGGATTTTGCAACTGCTCGCCCCTAAAAACTGTGAATAATTATGGTCCACCCAAATTAGCAGTATTAAATCCTGATTTGCTAACACTGTGTCAGATTGGACCATCTACCACAGATGGAGGACCTGTAACTTCCTAGCGTTTGCTGTTCTGACTCCTGACATCCCTCACTATTGTCCAGTGTTGGCCACAGCTGCTGAGAATTGTGTTTCAGCAACTGTTTGAAGGTCCTCACCCCAAATCGCCCCTCTGATTGAATGGCTAACCATAGTGACATCCCTCTGATTGTTCGAAGCATTCATCGCACAATCTGGTTTGTCAATCTTCAAAGCTTAACAGGAGTAGTAGTAAATAATTAGTATTTTATTCTAGTCCCAATGAAATACAATTCCCTCATCTCTCCTGTTTTGTTGATTGCTTTTCGCCTTCATGTCCAAGGAAGCCCAAGTGGGACTTTGTATTAACAATGCAGAGCAGGCTGGGGTCATACAGTGTGTCTGAATATGACACACACCCAAGCACCTGCCGATACTGGAAGTAACTCCCTTACACCACTTGTTCAGGGGAAGCCCAAGAGAGCCACGATCAATCGTTTAAATCTGAATCATTAAACATCCATTAATGGATGTTTCCTGAAGGAAGACGGTTGTCACGGGGAGAGAAATCTGTAAATGGTGTGGAAAATCTGATTATGTTCTTCGCAAAATGCCAGCCTCCAGAGATTCCACCACCGATCTCTTCACATAAGCTGTGAACAATGGAGGCCATTCTCTCCTTGACAGAAGCCCGCCATTTTCATTCACGCAGAGTTCTTGGATGTCATACCATCTGAAGACAGCTTTTCCTAAACTTGGGGTCCTCCAGATCTATTAGAGTTAAATTTCAGAGGACTTTTCGGCTAGAAGTTCCGGTTCAAAATGCTTAAGGGGCACCAGATTGAAGAAAGTAGGCAAAATCCAAGATTCCCAGTTGTATTGTCTTGCAAGGATCTTTGTAAAGGAGGTCAACATTTCTGTGAGCAGGGAAATCCAGTCCCAGGGGCCAATGGATCTACATTCAGTGCTCTTTTGTGATCCTTTCAAACACACTCTTGACTAATCCTTAAATGTACACATATTGAGGGTGATGAACAGCACTATGAATCACCCTCACAATAGCAAACCCCCAAAACACACACAGTGCCTTTGGCTTTCCCTGAATAATTATCAGTGGGGTCCTTGGTTAGTTGTTTTCTTGCAGACGTTTCATGACCCAGCTAGGTCACCTCATCCTTGCTAGAAGGGAATGGGATTTGCCCTTGTAGCATTGATGAGGTTTCCTAGTCTACTAATCCCAAAGGTGCTTTTTCAACTTTGTTTTTCTTTGAAGACATTTCACTTCTCATCTAAGAAGCTTCTTCCCTTCTGACTTCAGAAGAAGCTTCTTGGATGAGAAGCTTCTTCTGAAGTCAGAACGGAAGAAGCTTCTTGGGTGAGAAGCGAAAATGTCTTCAAGGAAGAACAAAGAAAGCCCAGTTGACTTTTGAAAAAGTACTTTGGGATAACCATGACCTGGGGATGACTGGGAATCTCCATAGACATTTAGTTTGGCAATGAAACATCTGCAAGAAAACCACCAAGCTCAGAGAGCATCAAGGACCCCAAAGTTCTGAGCTACAAATATTCTTATCAGTACAAGAATCAGCAGCCAAGCAATTTATCTGTTCACAACTTGAGCCAAGAAATAGTGAGGGTCGTCGTTTCATGAGTCCAGCTGGGATTCTACAAGTCATTCCCAAGCACCCTGCAGATACAAAATTGATGGGATTCTGCTCCCTAAGGAAAAAAAAAATACCATTATGATTAGATGCTGCTTATGCTTGGCCTTTAGTTCTTAGAAACATTTTTTCTGCCCAGTTCTCCTTTCCACAGGATTGTAGAGAACCGAGCAAAATATTTGTAAACTGGGTTGTTTTTTTTTACAACCGGTTCGTAGCGATTCCTTGATTTCATTTTACTTTGAAGGGGAGCCCTGAAAAACCAGCAAGGGCTGTTGTTTTTATTTGTTTCCATAGCTTAACGAGTCTGCAGCGTTCCAATTTCATGTAATGCTATGGGTGTGCGTGGGGATGCACATGAAAAGAATAATGTATTGGCTGAATACCACCTCTGCTTGTACTTTCCAAAGACATAAGTGCGTGCATCAGTAAATTTTCACACACAAAATACAGAGAAATGTCATCCTTTAGACCTCCCTGTTTGCAATAGGAATCCAGCTAAATTCCAAAAGACCCTTTCTCCTAAATCATAGGTCAAAGTTCACTTGACTTTCAGCTAGTGTAGAGGTGATGAAAGATAGTGTGTCCTTTACTATTTCTTTTTTAAAAAATATCCCTTTCCTACGGTTTGTAACAGTCTTTGTTGGGTGAAAAATTAAATATTGTTACAGCTATATTGCCAAGGGTAAGTGTGATGTTGTGTGATATAGGTGGTGTCAAAATTGAATAAATGTTTGTTTCTGCTTAAGTTGTAAAGGAGTTCTCTCACACATGCATACACCATCCCTCCCTTCCTCCATCCATTAATTCTGTTTTTTACAAGCATGTATACATTGCCGGATGGAAATAAGACCAGTTGCAATTGTTCTGTTGGACCCATGGAAATCAATAAACACATGAGTGAAAAACCTCCTGCCTTGACCATTTTTATGTCTACAACAGTAAAAACTAAACTATTTCCATATGCACCCGCTATTTTTAAGCGCGGAGGGTATGATGATCGTGCCTCGCACATATTTGCAGGAAAAGGAAATTGGTGAAAATTACTTTCCATTAGAAAGGAAATTGCTTTGGGCTGTAACTCAAGATTTTCTGCTTATTACAAAGAGCTCTATATGCTAGGAAAAGTGCCGTGATTTCATATCACGATGTCTTCAGTGCCGCTGGGATGCCGGGTCTTTTACTGAGAAGAGCCTGGAAGAAGAGCAAAAGCATTGGACTTGAAATAAATTCACAGCAGGGTGTACAACACTTCGGAGTAGTGCACAAAACTTTGCTTTGCCAAGCTAATATTTTGCTTTTTGTACAAAACTACAGGTATTCTCTTTCTTTGCCTTATCCTAGAGATCAGGCACTTTCTGTTTTGGTTCTCAATTATCTATCTATCTATCTATCTATCTATCTATCTATCTATCTATCTATCTATCTATCTATCTATCTATCTATCTATCTATCAATATCTCATCTATCATCCATATCATCTGTCATCTATATATCTATCTATCTATCCTATCAATATCTCATGTATCATCTGTCTATCATCCATATCATCTGTCATCTCTCTCTCTCTCATCTGTCTATCTATCTATCTATCTATCTATCTATCTATCTATCTATCTATCTATCTATCTATCTATCTATTTTATTGGTTGCCCATCTTACCATAAGGCAACTAATTATTCCCAATTCTTGCCTTATCTAGGAGCCCAGTACCTGTTAGACACTTGAAACACATAGTCCTTCATTTATAACTCAAAGCACTGAAAAAAGTGGTCATCAGTCTTGAACCCCTTTGGGCCCACAAGGAATCTCATGCAAATCACCTTGAATTCCATGTACCCCCAACTTGCTTTGACCATCTGCAGTTCAGATACTTGTGGAAAGTTTTAGCATGCAATAAGCCTGTAGTCATTTGAACCACCTTGCTTCCTAATTTATTGCTCCTGACACCGTCTAGCTGATTGGGAAAAGAGCAGGTGAACTAAGCAGATGGAATCAGAAAGAAGAAGGAGAAACAATAGTTCTAAATTCCCTCCCATTGACCAAAGTTCCCATCCCATCAGTTGGACAAGGGTGAAAGAGAAAGTGGGTGTATAAAATGTGGATAATCGTACGAAAAAGGAGATGTCCTCAGAAGCAACATACATTCACATTCCTGCAGGTTTACAGGTAGTCCTTGACTTACAGTGATTTGTTTAGTGACCATTCAAGGTTACAACAGCACTCAAAAAAGTGACATGACTCTTTTTCACACGGCTGTTGCGGTATTCCGGTGGTCACGCGATCAAAACACAGACGCTTGGCAACTGACTCATATTTATGACCACTTGCTGTGTACCCAGGGTCCTGACAAGCAAAAGTTAAAGGGGGGGGAAGCCAGTTTCACTTAACAACCAGGTTACTAACTTAACAAGTGCAATGGCAAGAAAAGTTGTCAAATGGGGCAAAACTCCACAAACGTCTCACTTAGCAACATAAAATTTGGGGCTCA